CGGGGAGGTCGAGGGGATTGTGAGACGGGGCCGGTCTTTCACCCACTGTGCTTTTCTGACGACCGCACTGTGCGGCGTTGCCTGTCGGGGTGCCTGCTCGGGAATCTGCGGGTGCGCGTCTCCGCGCCCGGATTTCGGTCAGGGATGCCTGCCCAAGCCCCGCCGGTGCCCACTGAACCTGGCCTTTAAACCCCCGCTCCGAGACACACACCTACCTGCCGGGGCACCAGCACCACCGCCGGATAGCGGTGACCACCGTCAGTGTACATGGCATAGAGGATGGCGATAAAGCGTGTTCCGGGACGAGATGCATCTCCATGCAAATAGTCTCGGCTTTTCTTGTGGGAAAACTCCGAAGTTCAGCTGGGTGGATGCACCTTGTACAAAGCAGAGACGGTTACAGGCAAAATCGAACATATTCGAATCCTGAATCACGGATGAGGGGAAGTGGTCCATACGGACTGATGTGTAGTTTTTGTGTGGCTGCGTGCTTTGAATTGTTGCAGGTGTTGACTAAACTGAATCAGGTGGCACAAAGGTATGTTTTACATTTAGATGAAAGGAACGTAAAGTGTAGAAAGACCAACGAAAACAGTATAGCGAAACAGCACAGTTATTGATTTCGGAATGTTGTGACTGAGTTGTTTGATTTTATGCAACATTTTATTTACTAGGCGGAAGTCATACGTGCCTCAGATATACAAGTAGTTCTAATAGTTGTAAGGACTCTAAAATTACAAGGGCATCCTAGTTTTAGTATGTAATTTTTGCACATCTTCACATGCAGGGGTTTACTATAGTGAAGGGAGCCTGTCGTCTGCCAGAGAACATAAGAGCAGCCAGAAAAAAGGTCTAATGCCAAACTACTGCTATGCAGCTGGATTGCCCTTGATAAAATATGACACATCATAAGAAACAGCAGTTTACAAAATGTGAAGTAACTATAAATCAGTTAATACAGAGCAGTTGCTGTGACATAGTTTAAAAGATTAAATGTGAACCTCTTTAATTTACAACTGTCAAATTAATGTAAACCTGAGAGAATAAAAACACATAGAGATACATGATTGCACTTCATATTTGGTTTTAAGTTTTTGAGGGTGGATTTACTTTCCTTAGAGGAAAACTAAGAACTATTTCATATTGCATTTCAATGCACTTTTAAAGTCTTAATTGGAACTGTTTTTGCTTTGCATGGGTAGAGGCTGGTAATTCTATCCATTTCTTATGTAACATATAGTTGTTATGGAAAGCTTCATTGTTGTCACTTGAGCTGTAAGTGCCATACATTAGGTACTGTTCACTGGAATAAATTCTGTGCAACGACAACATGTATCTAGAAAATATACATTAGAGAGAAGGATCTGTTATACTAATTACTGTATTGCTGAGCATGGATTATACCTGAAAGTGGTTTTTATTTTGTCCAGATTACTTTAAAATGCCTTACAGATTAAAGTATGTAGCTGTGCATTTTGACACAAACCAGAATGTAAGCTGCAGTGAAGCGTTGCATGTGCTCAGCTAACTGTACTTCACATAGTTTCCTTCTCCCAACAGATTGGGAAACAGAATGACATTTGATGGAGCCAGTGAACCTGATCATGCCCACGGGTCATTAAAGTCTGAATCAGACATTTTGCAGAACACACTACCTGAAACTGAGAAATTCTATTTTGACCTGTCCAGAATTATTGATAGGTGAGTTTCTTTATTTTCATAAATACTAATGATCATGCAATACTTGAATTATGCCAAAAGATTGGTCACATTTTCAAACTGAGAAATAGGAAAGGAAGAGTCAATCACATGGCATCTGGTTGAATACTGGTAGCACTAGGAACGTCTGCAGAAATATTGATTGTATTGCCATTCTGGTATGATGAATTCATTCACTTCCCAGGAAGGGCTAACAGGTATATTGTGAAAATCTGGAAGCTATTTTATGAAATTAGTTTAATTTAATATGTACAACAGGTAAGGAGCACAGTATGTTGACAAAATGAACGTTGTCAAAATGGTATGAACCCAGGTTGTATTGTAGAGTTTGTTTATTGTCCATTTCAGAAATGCAAGGCACGCTGATGGAATTTTCACCAGTGTCTACAGCCATCTTTTGGCTAAGCTTGCTGTGAAGAGATATCTGCATTCGCTTGTTAGAAAACGAGTTAGGTGAGGTGACACTTACATTAGGTAGAGCTTTTTCCTAGCTGGATTCATTGGCAATTTTTTACCCTTCTGTACCTAAGTTCTCATTTCTGTGATCTAGAGATGGTAAAAGAGAAACTGATATAATGATGGGGGAGATGGAAATCCTATCTAACAACTTAGTGGTATTTGTTACTAAATGAATGTGCTACTATTTATTCCTGATACAGCTGTGAGGGGTAGAGCAACAGACACTGAACATAGCACTGATAATAAATACTGGCAATCTTATAATGACTACCATGCCAATTTGCCATTTCTTTTTCTCTGCTAGTGTTTTTGCTTGGCAGGTGAATGGCAAAAGTAAATACAAAATGATCGATTACCCATTTATTTACGTAACAGCAGGAGAATGCTCAATGAAATTAAGAAACGATTGGTTTACACTGAAGATGCAAAAAAAATTGTTTTTTTCTTGCTGTAGAGCATACTGCCAGATGTTTGGGGCATCTGTATTATAGAAAGATTCGAAAAAGAATGAGGCAAATCCGTAGACAAGGGATCTGGGTGCAACTTCCAGACCAAGATGTTCATAAACTAAGGGTTGCAGGATGCTGGCAACTATCATTGTATGTTTCTCTTGTTTTCATATCCCAGAGCAGCACTGCTGGGCACTCTTGGGAACAGAATGGTAGTGTACTTTGGTCTGACCGAATACGACAGTTCCTTTGAGTGCCTACTTCATATGCTCAAAAGCTCAGTGAAAATTGGGTCCTGCATTTATGTGAATGTTGCCTTTGTTCCAGAACACATAGTCCCAGTTTCTCATACACTGTAAACTAACATAGACCATTTAAAGCAGAACACACTGAGGCTTCCCAAGACTGTGCAAGAAAAGTGGGCCTCCAAGTCTGGGTTTCACAAGGTCTGTTTTTTCTCCTGGTACCTCCTTAAAAGAAGCATTTGTAGGTGTTTCTGTGATGCTACACTCTCCTCTGAGGCAGGTTCTGTCTTCACTGAGTTCACTATGAGCAGTAACCACATCCTTTAAGAGCTTACTGTGACTTATATCAGTTCACACCTTGACATTGTACTAAAATACATTTACGCAAATGATATAAAACAAAATAAAGTCAGTTTATTAAGAGGAATAAGCTGGGCTATGAGAACAGGCAGAAGGGAGTAATGAAATCCACACTCAGCCATTTTATCCTGGGACAGGAACTCCAGAACTCCATGGGCCATGGCAAAGTTGAGCAGGAGAAAGAGTTCAGTGGAAGGTGTACCCCAAAAGACTGAGTACTCATACCTAGAATTTGATCCTTGTTATTAAAATATGTAGTAAGCAATAGATGCAGTGGCTTCTTTTCAACAGAGGAAAGATCCAAAGTCATAGTTGGAAATGAAAGCTGAAATGAAAATTTGATTTTAGCTAGCTAATCAACATTGTAAAGTTTGTTTCACTCATTTAATGTTATCTCCTTTAAATGGATATAATCAATTTTTTTTTCTTTGTGATTGTTTCATCACCAGCTCCCAGGACAGTCCTGTCAAACGCCACTCTGATGCTGTCTTCACTGACAACTACAGCCGCTTTCGAAAGCAAATGGCTGTGAAGAAATACTTAAACTCAGTTTTAACTGGAAAAAGAAGGTACTACAAGAAAGCAGATATATATTGTTTCCATACTTGTATGTTATTAAGACAGAAAAGATTTATACCCATGTATGTATATAGAGAGGACAAACAAAAGGCAATGAACATTAATGACTTTGTAATGCAGTTTATAACATGGTTTTCAAATACAGACAGCACTTTTTTCCAGACTGGAACAGACATTGCAATCAGATTAGAATAAAAGAATAAAGAAGAGATAGTATCTGGCAATTTTAAAAAGCTTCTGACAGATTCTTAAAATGGCTTTATTTATAAAAAATCCTCTCAAGTAAAAGCCCACAGAGCTATGAAACGTGAACAACAATTTTATAAAGAAAATGTACTATTGTTGAAAATCTGCTTTTAAGTAAACACATAAAAGTTTCAGAAAAGCCATGTCATAGTCAGTAGAAGAGTGAAGTACCAGCATGTTTTTGTAGAGCTATCTGTTTGTATGTTTACTCATTTAGACAACTGCTTTTTAAATATCATGTCTCTTCACCCATTAAATGTGCTATTTAATGTAGTTTATAACGCTTTGGTGTAAGTGTAACAAAAGGTGCAATAGCTACTGATAGAAGATTTTGCTTGCTTATTTGCTTTTTCTCCTGAGAGCAATAAAACTTGTTTCTGATCCACTATAGCCAAGAAGAGTTAAACCCTGCTAAACTTCGAGATGAAGCAGAACTTCTTGAACCTTCCTTTTCAGAAAACTATGATTCTGTAGATGAGTTGCTGAGCCGCCTCCCACTGGTATGCTCAGATTTTCTTTCTTCTTGCTATCTGTTTCTTGACTTGGCCCATAAAATGAGATTAATCATACGTGGTGTGTCACCTATCGGAAGCAGAATCATCTAGGCAAGAGCCATGTTCCATGAAATGCTGCATATTTCAATAGGAATTGTGTCTGCACATAACAATCATATTAATAACAATAATTAAGTTCTCCCATGATTGTTGTTGATGAAAATTCCTAATTAAATGCCACTGCTAATAATGCACCTAACTCGCTTGGGTGTTTCAGCTTGAGTGCACTGCAGCATAAAACCAGAATTGACTCATTTTTAGTAACAAAAATTACTATTTCTTCAGAGAACAAACTCAAGGATGTATTTTTTTTTTAATTACAAAGAACACCAACAAAAAAGATGCACATTTTGTTTAATATTTATATCTTTAGGAGAGAATTGCCCCTAGGACTAAGAGTATCAGCAAGATATACCCTAAACATTAAGGAAGCACTTGACTCCCCTCTAAGATGTGCTGCAGAGAGATCGTCTGACGTGCAAATATTGAAGTTACTTTTTTCCGTTTAGATACCACTATTTTTTTCTAAAATAATTTACAAGTGTATTTCTTTCATTTACTGAAACGTAAACCCCTCTACATCACAACACTTTCAGGGACATAAAATTGAAAGGGTAATGTAAAAGTGAATCCAGTTTGGTATTCTTAAAAGTGGATTATGAAATTGATGATAGGATGACTTCCAGCATTCAGCTGTGTCTGAACTACAAGTAAGAAAAAAGGTTACCTTTGAAGATAATTTTTTCCTTCTTTTTTTTTTTTTTTTTGCGGTGAGAGTGTGTATATGGATAAAATAGGAGATTATTGTTTTTTTCAAAGACCAATAGAAAATCCACCAATGTGGTAGTTCCTTTAAAGTTCTCAAAGATTAGAAAGGACATAAACTGCTTATCCTCAAGGAGCAAAATAATTTATAAGTGATGGGATTCAGGAAAGAAATGTTCCTTCTAGACAGGATTGTTGCAAATACACCTGCTCCTGGATTTTGCACCTTACAAAACTGCTGGCACTAAGCAAGACAGAGTAGTGGTGCAGCAGCTGATTGGTGTCATCCTGGAAATATTTTCAGTCCTTTTCTTTTTATAGACTGTACTGATGATCTAGATTTCCCTGTAGGTGAATTGCTTACTCAGTATTGTCTGTTACTGGTCATTTTATGGCTGCTGATGATGTATCAAACAACCTGAATTTGAGTACCCATTTCAAGCATACACTTGTTTTCAAAGTGAGCTGCTCTGCATGTGCAGTAATATTTTTTGCCTAATCCTTGGACATTTCTTGCTCACCCTGGAGCTTGGTCTGCTGGCTGTAATGCCCACCATGCTCCTGTGAAGACCTCCAAGGAAGCTTCTTCCTGTTCAGTCCCCGTGTGTTGCCTGATCTAGTCGAGAGGTGGCATCCCTGGTGGCAGGGAGGCTGGATTAAAATGATCTCTAAGGTCCCTTCCAGCTTAGGCGATTCTATGATTCTATGATTCTATGATTCTTGATCTGAGGCACTGCAGTTGTTTTACATCACGTGTCACTTCTTGTTTGCTCTCTGTTTTTATACGCCTCATGATGCATCTGCTTATGAAAATTACATTTAAAACATATCTCTCCTTTGCTTTTTCAGGACCTCTGAAGGATACCTGGTAAAGTCTATGACAAGAATAAGCTATTTTTGAGTTTCATATAGTATTTCAAAGAGATGACTTTAGTCATCAAAACAGAACAAATATGTTGTGAAGTGAAAGTTGTGATATATTTGTTTCTTATGTAATAAAAGTTGATATTTACATTGTAAATATTACTCTAGAGTTCTCTACTGAAAGCTGTACATATGGATGCCAGTTTAACTCATGAGAAGTCTGTAAGTCCATATGCTGTAAATCCTTTACTTCAATAAATTCATTTGAAAATGAGTATGCAGCTGAAAAGAGCTAATTAATTGGCTTATTTTAGGTGTGGTATAACTTCAGATAAGACTGCATGATAATAGGGATACATTTCCAGATAGTTTCATTAACAAGTTTAAAAATGTGAGGAAAAAGATGTGCAAAGTATATAAAACTGCATTACAAAGAGCTCTGAAGATGCCAAGCAAAAGGGAACGCTTTTCTAGTAGCTTACCGAACAACTAGAGAAAATGAGAAAGCATTAAAAATTGTTTGACCTCCAATAGCATCCTTCCTTCCTGTCACAATATACAAATTATATTAAGACCAGAAATGTATTCTTTATTTTCAGCTGTGTTTTGGATGCTCTAGAGGTGACAAAGCATGCAAAGAAGGCTATCCCTTCATTCGTTTGATGCCTGAAGTCACCAGTTATTCTACATTTAGTTGTCTGTAGCTTTGATGATGAAACTATTCCTTACATATAAAATAGATCTAAAGACACTTTAGTTTTTCAGAACGTATGTGATTTACAGAATATACAGACAATAAATCATTTTATTATCACAGCAAACTATTACTGGTTTGAATCAGTGCTACAGGTACCTGAAATAGTAGAGGTCCCAGTAAGTGCTGTCTCTACTGCAGTAATAGAGGAAGATACTATTTTTTAACTGAAGTAAACTATGTTATATTATACAAGCAAGTAAGACTTCCATCCCCATTTTTTTAGCTTTCTATCATTGTAGCTTAGTCCGCATCTGGAAATGTACAGCTGATTCACTGTTGCTGTGAATCAGAATCTGCTTGTACTTTATTAAAATTGTAGATTTAACCAATTGGATTATTTTCTAAAGCATTATTTATGTTGTTAGGACCAATAGTCCTATTGCAGTAAGGAGATGATGTGGTACTGCATGTGCAATATATGCAATGCATATTCATGCATGACACCAGCCATAACACTCCCATGACTCCCCTCCCACTTCCTGCAAAGAGATGATATTTGAGGTAGAAAAACTTACCAGACCTACTTACAAGTTCAATTTGGAATTTCAAATATATTTATATATCATACATATGCACACATAGACAGTGATAAAACTGATTTGCAAGTTTCACTTACAAGTTTACTGTTCTCATTTAGAAGGAGGTTTCAAACATGATAAAATTTGAGATTTATGGAGACTAGTTCTCATAAATATGTAGCCTTGATTTGCAATTTTTTTGAATATTGGTAACTGCGTGCCAAAAGAAAACCAGTCTGCACAGATCAGATGCTGTTATTGCTGTTTCTATTTGTCCTTGGTGGAATTTACTTTAGCCTAAGCCAAGGGGTCATTTACAAGTTAGACATAATTTTGAAGTCTTCTCTCGAAAAGTGGTTTTCTAATGATGGTCTACTCTCAATTCCTATCTTCTTATGAAAGTTTGAGTGCAAAAGTGGCTTTTGAAATCCTTGAAGCATACTAACAGACTGATACTATAGTACTTAATCAGAAATTTTCTTCAGTGTAGTTGCAACTTGGTTAGGATTTTGGTGGTAAGTGATCTTTAAAAAAATAACTGAAGAAAATTAATCAGAAGCAAAGCTGTATACGGTCTTCCTACACAGAACTTTTTGTTTAAATATGCGTAATGTAACAAAAGTTGGAGTGAATTGAACTTTTGACTCCACAATTTCAGAAATATTTGTTTGGGGTTTTTCCTAAATATGCCTTTTTTATTTATTTCCAGCTTACCAGTAAGACACCTGATGGGAGAGTTTGTCTTCCATATGTAACGTTTAATCTCCCTAATATTATGCTCTCCATAGAAAACTGCAGAACCTTAGAACCTGTGTTTTTTCTGTTACAAGTGTGATGGAGTGGATTACAGAAGAAAGGGACGCTTATTAGGAAATCAAATATATACATATATTGTAAAATACGAAGAATAATGACCTCATTTTAATGACTAAGATAATACTGTGATAGCTTCCTCAAAGGGTTAGCAAACAGAGACAGTCTAACAGACATGTAAAATTTTATGTACATTTTAGCAAAACCTAGTACTTGAAAGGAGAGATATTAACCTGCAGAATAATATACCTGATTTAATATTTCTGTTAAAGGATGGCTTTTAAGTTTTTTGTAGCATCTTTTGACATCCTACAGTAGATACAAGGCCCAATAAATATATTTAGGTTAACTGTGGAAGATATAACATTGTTTAGCTCAGCTCCACTGGTAAGTGGTTACAGTAAGGTTAAATAACAAATTGAAGAAAAAATTGCAACATTTCACTGAATGAGACAAATTTTCACTCTGTCAATGGGTCTTGACACATCACCAATCTCACAACTCATCTGCAAAATGCTGGAAGAGTGGAATCAAAGTGTGGTGTTAATTAGAAGAATGAAAGAGGCAGTTCCAAAGAGAGGGTCAATAGGACTGCTGGGAGATAAATAAATACCTGGAACATTTAGAAGAGCATTGTTGGCAGAGAGAATGCAAAAGCTTAGAAGAAAGCAGTAAAACCATGCAGGTTATTGGGGTAGATGTTAAGGAAACACCATATCATGTGTCTCCAGAATTTCACTTTTACACAGAGTAGGAATATTTGCAATCGTAGATGATAGAATTCATTTTGTTTTACTGAGTGGGGTTTGCTTTGGGGACTTAGTCATGGAGCTCTGAAACAAAGGGACAGATTAATCTTTAGATGCATCTTTACAAACACTGGAAGGGGTCATTTTCTGGTCCTGAATCCACAGAGAGGATCTGCACACTTGTGTGCATCTGTACAATCACCACGCACTCAGCTGCAACCTTCAAGATTGTGCATAAGACAATGAGAATTACAAAAGTTGATAAAACCCTTTAAAATTACAACCTGTAAGAACACATTACAATTGAATAAAGCCCTAGCAGTTCCTCTGGTGTTTTAAATGGGTTTGAGGGGCTACGAGCCTTTGTTTCACCTAAAAGTCTTAAGACAAAATATCTGTTTAAAAATATGAAAATGGGTAACTTGGATCCTAAGTGCAGGTCCAACTTCATGTGTAGGAATATTGAATACTCCTCAAAGACAGATCTTTTGGGAAGAGGCGTATATTTACAGGAACAATGTATTTGCTTTGAAGGCATTAGGGAGATAGAGAAGGCTGTCCATTGCCTCTTGTGATACTACTCATGCTTTCCACTACCTCTTATTTTTCCTTATTTTCTCTCTCCCTCCTCCACTTACCAGAAGCTTCCCCATGCTTTGTTAATACTCTCACCTTTGGCTTGCCAAGCTAGCGTAGGAGTGCGTACCTCTGGTTTTGAGAGGAAAATTACAAAATACCTTACATTGCTGGTGCAGCAATCTGATAACTGCCAGCCTTGGTTGTGAAGATGAGTATTGCAGAGAACCTGGCACAACCAGGTTTGCAGAAGCAGTATGTCCTGCTCACAAACAGCCCTTGACTTCCCACTGGAGATTTCCCATTTGGTTTGTGGCTGGTGCAGAAGCCTGACCTTTCCTTGGCTACATCAAAAAGAACATGTGGCCTCCTGGGGCTCGTGTTGGCTCAGGCAACTGTGATATTTTCAGCTTTTCCCCTTTCTGCTTTGGAACAGTCAGGTAAATTGCTTAGCAGGTTGACAAACTGGTTTAGGACTGGGGGTTGGAAATTAGATGCTGGCCTTTTACATCAGTCTTTAAAAAAGTCTGAAGAATATTTTGATGCATCTTCTGCTTCTGAAATAAACAAAGAGGAAAAGTTTTGCTTCAGTTTTATACACAGGTACATGCAGGACACATAGCATGGATGGGGAAACACAGCTTTCCCTTGTGAGGATAAGAATTTTCAGTAATGTAATTGATCAACATTTGTAAAAAAAAATATGCCATGACACAAAGATTAAGCTGAAAGTGACATACATCATAACGATGCAGTGAAAAAATAATTATCTAAATATCAACATTGTCATGGTGAGAATAATATTTTCAACTTTGAGGAATGTATTGGGTTGGCTCAGCCAGATTTT